GAGAAAGAGAGTCCGCTGCAACAATGCAAGAGGCATTTATTCAGCATATGCTGGGTTGCTTTTTTCATAAGCGGCCCCGAACTTACAATACCAAGGCTTTTTTTTTTTTCTCTTAGACAGACTCTCATAACAGGTTGTGTAGTTAATTAACTGCGGTGCCTTAAAATTTATGGTTAGGCTCAAAAGACTAGCACCGTTAGCCCCCCCCATAAAAGATGTTACATGTTTATCTTCCCTGGTCCAGCCAGGTGTTCAGAAGATAAGGGGGGGCTGGTTCAGTCCTTGGGACCAGCTGTCTCCTGGAATGTGCGCCTGGTTTTGCCTTGACTTCTGCCTGACCTCTTAAAAGCTGCTTCACTTAAAATACCTTTAGATATGTTTTCCTCGTTAGTAAGTGCTTACAGGAATAATTTGTGCAGGTTAGGTTAAAGTTCATATTTCTCTGTTACAATTTGTGCAGGCTAAAGCTACATAGGCAATAATGTGGGTTAGAGTCACAATTTTAATAACATAAGCAAGTAAACAATGAACAATTATTTCGATTATTATAAATTTTGTAAAGAAAATAAAACAAGAAAATGTATAGAGTGTGATCATGTGGCAAGTAGCTAGTGGTCAGGAAAAGTCCATCTGAGAAGGGGCCATGTAAGCTGGAACCTGAATGGCAAGAAAGGTACACACACAGACCTGGAGGTTCAGCATTCAGTGCAGAGTAAACAGCTGATGCAAAAACTCAAAGGTGAGAATGAGCTTGGTCTGTTCCAAAGTGGAAATCATGGACTTGCTTTATGACTTGCTATGTGATAATGATTGGACATGTATTTCTGCCCCTTCTCTAGGCATTGTCATCCTTACCAAGGAAGAGTGGTAGAGTGGCAACATGTCCTGGCTGTTTTCTCATTATAGAAGCGATCGATGACAAAGATCAGTTTATGTGTGGAGAAACAGTCCCAGCACCTTCCACCAACAAATAATTGGTTAAAATGCTAAAAGCTTTTGAGTCAAAATCCCGAACAATTGGAAATGAGCCAAGGTGGAAAAAATCTAATGCCAAATTACAGTCTCCTTTCATGGGCACACCAGTTTTGTGGTCTGCTATTCTGTTAGGAATCAAATTGAAGAAGAGAGTCAAGAGATGGGACATGCTTGGATTTTATGCTTAGAACTTTGAACTGGAAGTGTTCTTAATGTTCCATTGGATTTTCCCTCCATTGGAATCTTAATGGCAGATAATTTCAAATCAGTGCTTTATTTCCCTCAGTTTTATCATTTTTCTGTCTTAAAACTAATTACTCAATATCTGACAGCAGCACCATCTACCTCAAAGTTAGTAGTATCTCTTATTTATGACTTGGTTATTAAGATAATTCAAATTAGCCCTTCCTGTAAAAGTTGATAACACCTTTGCTGTTCTTAGAAACTTCGAAACTTAAGAAAATGAGTTGCCTCATCAGTGCTGCACGTCCACCTTCTGCACCAAGCCTTGGGCTTGCCCTTTGTCTTGTCCTTCTTAGAATGTTCCTGCTCTGTGAAGCAGGCCTTTTCTGACTCCATGCAGAGTATTAGTCATGGCATTAAAGAGAAAATATAGTGAGCTCCCAATTTCTCTAGAGCTAGAAGTTAGTGGATAAGAAAGAAAAGTCAAAAAGTGAAATGGTCTTAGAATTTGGAATTTCCTTATAATTATTCTGTATGTTTTTTGAAAATTAGGAAAAGATAAATAGACAAGCAGCCAGTGGAGGTGAAACTGGTAACAGAATAAGAGGAGCAAAACATGCTAACTTAGTAAATAAAATGCTTGAAGAATTTTACCAAACCAGAGCAGATATTTCTTTTCTTTTTCTCTTTTTTTTTTTTTTCCTACAGGAGTGAAGAAGACAATGTCCTTGACTTCATGTCTTTGCACATGCTGCCTCCTCTACCTAAATCTTATTCTTCAAGACCTATGTCAAGTATTATCTCTCCGTTTTCTAGCCACTGGTGCAAATCCCAGTCCAAGTGCAGGAGATGAGGGGAAATGTCTCAACTCAAACAGTGAGGCAGAAAAAGGGGAGTGAATTCCTTCTTCCTCCTCCTTTTGTTTTATTCAGGCCCTCAACAGACTGGAATTTATAACAAATGCCTACCTACATTGGGGAGAGTAATCTACTTTACTGAATCCACTGATTCAAATGCTAATCTCATCCAGAAATGCCATCACAGAAACACCCAGAAATAATCTTTAATCTGGGCATCCTGTGGCACAGTCAAGCTGACACAAAATTAACCATCGTAGCCACCATACAGGAGCACTCCTGAACACAGGGTCTGTGGTGGGAGAAGCAAAATATGAAGGAGACAGAGAAAGGCCAAATAATAAAGGGTCTTGAATTTCCTGTTGAGAACCTTAGACTTTATCGTCTATACAATAGGGAGCCAATGAAGCTTTTAAGTAGGATTTTGAAGTGATCAGATTTTGTTTTAGATAGAGCAATCTCAGGTGATGAGGAGTGCGGGTGGGGGTAGGAAGATGGTGAAAGAGATACTATAGGTACAGAGACATTACTTCTGATTTTTAGTGCCCAGATCACTTTAGTCCCAATTCTCTGAATGTACTTCAGTTTGTCTATAGCCCACCCAGAGTTGAACATGACAACCAAGGTATGCTATATCCTGCACATATTACAGTAGAACCATGTGTATGGTGCCTCATGACCAGTACTATATTCTTGGCATGCTTGGAAAAATACTGAGGAATCGAGTGGGGATAACTTGCACAAGATATCTCACCATTTGCCATTTCTCATTTTTCCTTTTCTTTCTATCTATAAACTAAATAAGTAAATTCTAGCTATCATAATGATCTAATGAAGACCTGATGATGGAGAACTAATAACAAACACAAAGCTTGCTCAATAAATACTTATTGTCCCTGAATGCTTATTCTGTGCGTGGCATTACTGCTCATTAATCATTGTGACAATTCTTGAAGACAAGTACTTTTATTATCCTAATTTTATTTTATTTTTCCTTTTTGTCTTTTTTCGTGTCCGGCAACGGATCACAACCCTCAGTGTCGTGCCCGTACCGGACCGAGACCGGCAACGGGATCGCAACCCTCGGTGTTGCACCCTCACCTCGCTCAGCCAGTGAGCGGGAACCGGTCTTTATGTGGGATCCGAACCCTCGGCGGGAGCGCCGCCGTGCTCCCAAGCGGTGCACTGTAGCAGTGCGCCACCGGGCCGGCCCCTAATTTTAAAAGATGAGAAAACTGAAGCTTGATAAGTGAGATTAGATATTTGGTAGATAGAATTAATATGATTTGCTTACTGTTTAGATGTGAGCTTTGATGGAATAAAAGCATTCAGAATGACACCCAGCTTTCTGGTGTGGGTAACTGACTGGATTGTTGTGCCATTCACTGAGATGGGATTTAGAGGAGAAAGAGAAGCAGGTTAGGGGAGAGGGGAGAGTAGAAATGGAGTAGGTCAATTGGGAACTATGCTAAAGTTTTAGGTGCCTGAAAGAGATGCCCATCTGTCATTAGATTGTTGAATCTGGATTACAGGAGTCTTGTCTGGGCTTCCTATATGTGGGAATCATCAACATATAGATGACAATCCAAGCCATGGGAATGGTTAAGATCACCAGGAAGAGTGTAAAGATTAAGAAAAGAAGAGAGCATAGGGCAGAGTCCTCTGGAAACCAAAGAGCTGTTACAGAGGTGGGAGGGGAACCAGGAGAGCGTAGAGTCTTAAAAAGAGCTAAGAGTTTCAAAAAGGAGGAAATAATCAATGTAAAATCCTGCAGAGTTTAAGTACAGTAATGGCTGAAAAGTACCTATCTGTTTAAGCAAGACTGTTGGGAATTGTGGCTGGAAAGAAGAGATGGGAGAAAGTCCAGTCGCCTAAGTTTGTGTGTGGTGAGGGGGCTGGGAGTGTGGGGCTGAGAAAGGTGCCTTTGGAATGTTTTAGATGAAAGAAATTTTGACAGTCTTTAAATGCTGATAATAAAGAACGAGTAAACGGAACCGTTGAGGCGTCACGAGACAGAATGGTTCAGCAGAGGAGCTAGCCTCTGAGTTGGCAAGAGGGAACAGGGTTGTAAAAGAGTGAGCTTAGATAAAAAAAAAAAGTAGTTTACTATTATTGTTGTTGTTATTGCTGTTGTTGCAAAAGAACGGGATAAAGGATTGGTGAGGAGTACGAGGAAGTTAGAAAAT